AAAACTATTTTATTTAAAAGCCAATAACATGTATTTTTAATAAAATTTTGTTACCGGTACAAAATCATTCTAATTTTTACGACAGTATTATACTTGTAACTTTCCAGAAGAGGTTATAAAATAAGAGCTAAAAATAAAAAAATTATTTTATTTAAAAGTTAATAACATGTATTTTTAATAAAATTTTGTTACCGGTACAAAATAATTCTAATTTTTTTATTAGATTTACACCATCCTTGTCTCAAAACTTTTAAGCTCGGGGCCCAGAATATTACAATTTCGCCGTTGAGTAGAAAAAGACACAGATTGGCCGTCTTCCACGGTCCCTCTCTCTCATTTTCGTTGACCATTTTGACACACGGATCGCGCAGTCCATTCTCTATGTCTTTGGACGGCACCCTCAGGGGCTGCGCATAATAAAAGGAACAGGGAACAGAGAACAGAGAATAAAGGGCTGCGCAGAATAAAAGGAACAGGGAACAGAGAACAGAGAATAAGAATTTCAACCTATCAGAAATCATGTACTATGGAATACACACTGTTTATTCCACAGTATATAATTTCTGATAGGTTGAAATTCTTATTCCCTGTTCTCTGTTCCCTGTTCCTTTTATTCTGCGTAGCCCCTACGCACCAGTAATGCAGTATACGCGCTTCATGCGTAACACGGAACGCACCCATGGTCGCAGGATAATCATAATCATAGTCGCTCGAGTTGACCACTGACAAGATAGCAGACAAACTGAATATTTTTTATTTATTTATGTGTATATAATTTGGGAATCGCGTGGGGAAATTTGGGAAAAGCATTTAAACATTTGGGTAATAGTATTTTTCTTGTTATTAACAAATTTTCTCATGCGACAAGTTAGCAGACAGCGATTTTATTTTATGAATTTTATGAATGGAATCGATCGGAAATCATTTGGGGAAAACGTCTTCATTATTATTTTCATTTGGGAAAAGTCGCTATTTCCCATATAGCACAGAAATATTGCAGCAATGTTGCAGCAATATTTATTTGCAAAATTGCAACATTGCACCAACATTGCAAAATGTTGTTGCAACGTTGCTGCAACATTGCAGTAACGTTAAAATGTCCGCCTCTAGAAATATTGCGATGCAATATTGCAGCAACCCAGATAACAAAATGCGCACACAATGTTCTCGCAGTGCATTCACGCGTGCAAGATTATCGGCACGCGTGAGTGTCATGCGCATGACAGATATGTCCTCAATTGAATGCCATATTGCTCGCACGCACGCGAAAAAAAAAAGTTACAGTAGTTCTTATTAATTATGATGGTAAAAAAAAACAGCTATTTCGTAGCGTGTTTTACTTATGTTCTGATGCACTATTCAGGAAATAAAATAATTAACATTTTTATATTTATCGTGTACTATAAAATTATAAATAGATTTATTTAGAATTAATTCAGGAATCTGTTTTTGTAATTTGAGCTTACTAAAAAACACGTAACGATATGATATTACTATTTTATAACAAATAAAATAATGGTTACATAACAATGACATACTTCATATTTCAATTATATAACATTTTAATAATACACCATATTCATATTATCCATATAGCTGTAATTTCGTATGAGTGGGAAATTAGAACTAACGTGAATATTGCATGTAACGAACACGGTATATTACTTGTTACTTTCCGTTTCATTACGGCAATGTTATATTAATGTATTTGCTGGGTAGATTTCTTTCTCCATCATTTGTGTCCTCTCCTTAAGTACTGAACTGACTAATAATACCTAGGAAAAAACTTTTAAACCTGATAGGATTTGAACTCGTGACTCGATCCACGGTCCAGTTCTGAGTAGTTCACCTAACATACTGCTCTACTGTTACCTTCTTGACAGAGATGTTTCGAAATGTCCATATATACTTTTAATAAAAATATTTTGTTTTGTGTGTGTGTGTGTGTGTGTGTTGTTGTGTGTGTCTACCCAAACAGATTATTTTGTTAAAATTACTAAAAGAACACTTATTTTGTAATAGCAACAAAATTTTACCTTGTTATTTACAAAAAATAAGTAAGCAAATAAATTTGTATCGCTAAATAGAAGAATTTACAATATTTTGTTCATTTAACAAAAAAATTGTATTTTGTTATTTTAACAAAATAATTCAATGATAATCAGCTATTTGTGTTTATTCTTTTTTTTTTGTTACCATTACTATATCTTTTTTCTCAATGTAGTAGTGCCCCAGGCATTAATAATGAAGAAAAATATTGCTGCAACATTATTAAAACCATGTTGCATATCTACATTTTAACAATATTGCTACAACGTTGCAAAAAAATTGCAATGTTGCAATGTTGCAGCAATATTGTTGCAATTGTCGGTGCTGTATGGGTTTGTAATTCAATAGATTTACACATTGCGAAAACGAACAAAGCTCGAGTGTAGTGTGTGTAGTAAGTGTAGTTCAAAAAGGTGTAGTAAACCGAAAATCGTCAAAAATTGGGCGCGTTTAACGGACTCAATAGTTGAGTGAACGCTCGCTATTATTGGTGCATTCTTTTAGATCATCCAATCAGAATTTTATATCTAAAAGAATACACCAATAACAGCGAGCGCTCACTCAGCTGTTGAATCCGCTGAAAGCGCCCATTAACTTTACAATTAGACCTGATCTTGAAGTTAGGTGTATTTCATTTCACGCATGATGCATTATTTATCATTATTGTTTGAGTGCGAATGTTAAGTAAGGATAAATGATGCATTATGCACATCATGCGTGAAACGGGATTGCATCGCCAGTTTAACAAAATTATCTGTAAGTCATGGCGATGCAATCCTGTTTCACGCATGATGTGCATAAAGCTGGTTCTACATTAGTTGCAAGTCGATCGCAAGTTCGTTGCGACAACCAATCTCAAGCTTGCATTTTGAAATCAACGCTTCAGATTGGCTGTCGCAACAAACTTGCGATCGGCTTGCAACTAATGTAGAATCAGCTTAATGCATCATTTATCCTTACTTAACATTCGCACTCAAACAATAATGATAAATGATGCATCATGCGTGAAATGAAATACACCCAACTTGAAGATCGGGTCTAATTGTAAAGTTAATTTTTGACGATTTTTGGTTTACTACACCTTTTTGTACTACACTTACTACACACACTACACTCGAGCTTTGTTCGGTTTCGCAATGTGTAAATCTATTGAATTACAAAATAGCGACTTTTCCCAAATGAAAATAATAATGAAGACGTTTTCCCCAAATGATTTCCGATCGATTCCATTCATAAAATTCATTAAATAAAATCGCTGTCTGCTAACTTGTCGCATGAAAAAATTTGTTAATAACAAGAAAAATACTATTACCCAAATGTTAAATGCTTTTCCCAAATTTCCCCAAACGATTCCCAAATTATATACACATAAATAAATCAAAAATATTCAGTTTGTCTGCTATCTTGTCAGTGGTCTCGAGTTGGTACAACTGAGTCAGTGTCTACAGTGAAGTCGCAGTTTTGTCTTGAAGTCTGAAAAACGGTAATAACACTACTCTGTTTCAGTCGCAGGACAGTCATAATCGTAGTCGCTCGATTCGCACCAATTCCTATTCCAGCGACTTGAGTGACTACTGATTAAAATGAGGACCAATCAGAGAAAGTATATTTTATAGTGGCCCTATGTATAGTATGTAGTCATTTGTCTCTAGTATTGCGAATTGCCCGGTGTCCGTTCGAGCAACGCTATTTTTGCGGGCAATAGGAAAGCTATCTTATCAGGGAGTCTATAGACCTTTTCATAGTTCGAAATGCGCAGACGCGAACATGGGTGGGAGGATCGACCAAGTCCGGGAAAGTCAAAAGTTTCGTACAGTTTTGTACGCTTTACATTATGGCTTCATCATTTCCATTCGTAAAAGCAAATATTTCCCCTCTTGATGTTCCTGGTGCTGTGTCAATTTATAATTCAGTTCAAGAACACAGCGTAGAACAATTAAAAAGATGGTTGAAATGTAGGAAGCAAAAAACAAACGGAAAAAAATGCGAATTAGTTGAGAGGTTATTTAGTCTTTTATATTTTTAATACTCCTATAAAACAATATGATTATATATTATTTTAATTAAAATTTTTCTACGATTTAGAGTAAACATATGCCTTCAGAAAAAAATAAAAATAAATAAAAAAAAATAAAATAAATGATAAAAAAATTTCTATTATTTATTTTCTCACTTTTCTTTTATTTTTTAGTAAAGGAATAGGGTCCGGGTACTCGACAGATGGTCCACTTTCCCCATGGAAATGCAACGAACATATATACGTGTCTTTTTTAACATATTTAATGTTGTTAAACGGAGTAGGACGACCACATGCTCTCACCCATATACTGCATTTATTGCATTTAACACAATTTTTCGTGTGATTTTTTAATTGCTTTGTTTCAACATTACCCTTTCTAAATGACAGGCACGGTTTGTGAAATGAGATAAAATAATAATTATCAATTTTAAAACTTTTTAAGCGTGTGTCACTTTCGCATAAACCATAACAGCAACGTTTTGTTGTTCCTTTTCTATCATTTGTGCTTGCCATAATTAAGAAAACTTTTTTTTTAATAGTAATCGATCTTTTCACGTGTATTTTTACGAAAAGTGTACGAAAGTCCTCCAGGTGAGGCTAGGTTTATTTGCGCAGGCGCACAATTTTTTGCTTGCGATGAAAAGGTCTATTCTTGAAAAGAAACGTATACGAAAAATTAGGAAAATACTATAGTATACGTAACGTATAGTATACGTAACGTATACTATAGTATTTCCCTAGACTTTCGTATACGTTTCTTTTCAAGAAAAGAGGTTATTTATACACTATTTTGGCATTGGCGGTCGCAGTTTTCGTTTCTAATGTTTGGAAAAGAGATAATTCGAGTCAAACAACAAAAAGGAAGGTTAAAGTTACGATTAACGCTTTTTTTTACGTGCAAAGGCCTTAAACGTTAAATATTTCAGTTTGCGGGGCAGAGCGACGCTTATTTCTGCCAGATTCTTTCGTTTCTTTGTGCAAAAACGCGTCGAATAAACCAAACTTCATCGATTTTTGAGCTGGCCGAGCTATTCTGTATAATTACCGTGTTTTTAAAAATGGATTTCAACCAATCTAATTTGGAAATGGAAAACGAAGAAGTGATGAGTGAGGAATATTTAGATGAAATTGAAACACTCGTGTTGGAAGGCATTTATAGTATAGAAGATAAAGTTCAAGATGACTTGGATCTGATTGCACTCGTTGAAGGCAACCCCAGATTTTATGTTAAAGGAAAAGCGGGTTATCGCAACGTACATGAAAAGGATATGGCATGGGTTTCTATAGACAAAGCTTTGAAACATCCAATAAGTGGTGAGCTAATTATTTATGTATACACATATCATATGTAATACAATGTGTGTTACTGTTTATGAATATATTTCACTGATTTTTCTATCAGGATCAGAAGCAAAGCACAGATGGGCACGTTATGAAATCTCTATGGTCGTGCAAGGCGAGAAATATTTTATCATTAATAGAACAACAGGGACGGTCGGGCTCAGGAAAAGATAATGTGTCATACGAAGACTTGTTGACACCACAAAGCATGGCTATTCATCGTTTTATGGCTCATCTGTACATTCCACGAAAGTAAGTATTGATTTAATTTATTTAGACATTTATTTCATTCAGATGATTCTTCTTCATATATTTAATTTAAAACTTTCACAATTCTATTTTTCGATTATTATCATTTCATTCTGTTTACTCATTTCATTTTTTATTTCTTATTATATAATTGTTTCTATATCAATTTAGAAAAATTATGTTGTAGGACAGTCTCTAATTATAGTAAATCTACGTTATCTACATCATTCACTTCTTCTAAAAGCAGACTTCCCACCAGGCCTCGCTCTAAATCATCATTTATAAAGCCACGACTATCTATTTCAGAATCAGAAGAATCGACAACATCTTCATTAAAGGATTCACCAGTAGCCTCTTCTACTTGGAACAAAAATCTTGTTTCGAACATTTCTGAAAGTAAGTGGTGAAATCAATATTTTTCAGAAAATTCTGAACCTCTGATTATGCATGTTTCTAACATTTCCAAAAAAATTTCATATAATGACAGTATTGATAGTCAATCAAGTGAGTACTCATTCAAAGTACTTATATCCGATATAAAAAAAAGAAAGAAGACAGATATTGAGACAGAGTCTATGATTAAAGAATCATCAAAAGCTATTACTGCAGTTTGCTCAACTTTGCCAACATTGCTAAGCAATAATTCCAAAGAAGCAACTTCTAAGGAGGATACAGAAGAAGATAAAAGTATTATGATCATCTTATTACAAGAGTTGCCTGTGTACTGTACAAAACGTGTGCCTGTACAACAAAGAACAAAATGTTTGATTAAACTATTAGAGGTATTCGAATTATTTCATAGAGGATGAATAACTGCGTAGTTATTATGGACAGAAAAAGCCAAAATATATTAGCTTTGTATAACGTACTGATGTTTTATGTGAAATACTGTTTAAAAGTTTTAATTTTGTGATATTTGTTTAAATATTGTGATATTTTTATTTTAAACTTGTACTATTTGTTTAAGCATTGTGAGAAGCACAGAAACAAAATAATTATTTTTAAGAAGTATTTAAAATTCATGTGATACAATGTTTTTATTATCTAATTTGTAAGTCATTAAAGCGTGTATAACTATATATCTACAAATGTCTTAAAAACTAGAAAGGATATATATATATATATAGAAGAAGAAGTAATGTGTGTGTGCGTGTGTGTGGGTGTGTAAGAATTTCGAAAGTGTTTAGAATTCATATACTATATTCAAAAATTAAACGATAGAAAAAAAGATTATGATAAATTGATCAATAAAAAGAAAAGAAAAAAAGATCGTTAGTTTTGTATATATCACAAAGATAAACTTCATTAAAAAAAATTGTTTTTTTTCGTTTGTTTATATTTTTTTAAGTTTTATTCTTGCGGTAATAATAGAGTATAAGTCTACAAACTGTTAAGGATATAACTAATGCTAGGAAGATGTTCTGCAAATATAATGTAGACATTTGATATCTGAGACTGCGAGATAAAAAGTCTGATTATATAATATTAAATCTATAAGTTGAAGTTTTAAAAGTAACTCGTTACAGTGACCGTTACTTGAATGATAACTTTTCGTTACTTTTCCGTTACTTTTTAAAAATCAATCCAAAAATGTACTTTTGCAGTATTTTTTTTTGTTTAAACGCAATTAATAGTTTAACAGTTTTAATTGATTTTGGAGTCTTTTTTTGAGGTTATGGTCCAAAAAACTGACTTGTTGGGGTTAAACCGACCTCGGATTCGGATTTAGCGATCCCAAAAACATACAGTATATGCAGCGAAAATCCCAAGTCGAAGAAAAATTTTTTAGTTGATTTTGGAGTCTTTTTTTGAAGTTATGGCTAAACCCTGACAAGCTGGGGTTAAACCGACTTCGGATTCGGATTCAGCGACTCCAAAAACATATATTAAATACAGCCAAACACCCAAGTCGAAGAAAAAAATTTTTTAGTTGATTTTGGAGCGTTTTTTGAGGTTATGGCCAAACCCTGACGTGCTGGGGTTAAACCAACCTCGGATTCGGATTCAGCGACCCAAAAAACATACAGTATACATAGTGAGATACCCAGGCCGAAACAAAATTTTTTTTTTGTGTGGCTGTGTAAAGGAGCCTACAGACCAGAGCGGCGCAGCGGTGAAGCGGCGAGCGATAGCCAATGAGAGCCATGCTTTTGCGTAAAAGCATTGCCCTCATTGGCTATCGCTCGCCGCTTCACCGCTGCGCCGCTCTGGTCTGTAGGCTCCTTAATTAATTAAATACACATATCATGTATATATTTACACATAATGCTGAAATTAAGATAATTCAATAGAAAGTTACTGGTTAGTACTTGTATCAATTGCACGATGTAAACTAGGCCACTATGTACAGTTTCATTTTTTAGTTTTTTTCTAAACACTATTTCGTAATTCTAAAACCTGTAAAATATGCAGCAAACTGAGATATACAAATGTTCAATATATCACATAGAAGATAGAAGTGCAAAATAATTCCTGAAATAATGGTACTGTATATATTTCTTAGCTGTCAAAGATCACTTCAATATCGCTACAGCAGTTGACAGCTAAAATATTTCAGGAATTTTTTTATACTTTGTAGAAAACTAGAAGATTATATAAGATTGTATAGAACCATCTGAATCACAATATAAGTTAGAAATTAAAAGGAAAATTAAGAAATACACATAATCTCTTTATTATAATACAACTATATTTTTACTTATCTATACTTTTAGTTGTAAATTAAATATTTTGATAGAGAGAAAATTATAATGCTATAATTAAAATATATAACAGAAGTTTTGCAAAAAAAAGGGTGTTTTCCAATTGCTTAACATAAATGTACGCAAAAATGTACAGAATAAAGCTTTTTACACAGCTCAATTAGAACAAAATGTGTACGATATTTAAATTAAGTTAAACTAAATGCAGGGAATGGAAAGTTACTTTTTAAAAGTAACTAGTTACAGTTACTCGTTACCAAGTAAAAAATGTAACTAGTTACAGTTACAGTTATCGCTTTTTAAAAGTAACTCGTTACAGTTACCGTTATTTGAAAAATAACTTTTCGTTACTTTTCCGTTACTTTTTTAAAATCAATTTAAAAATGTACTTTTGCATTTCTTTTTATCCCATAAAAAAAACCTTTTTTTAAAAAAAGAAAAAAACATACGCCAAGTGCATATAAAAGATACTGAACTTCTTGATCAAAAACAGATATGAGATAAATATAATTGACCAAGTGTATTCTTCATTACGCCAGTCACATAAGACA